AGAACTACAAAATTCAACCGCTTTACGGCATACGTCACTTCCCCCACCACCCACAACTTCCTCAGATTCTGACGTGAGAGCTCAACTCGCGTTTGATTGCCGTCTGTATGTTTTCGTCATGGCCGAACCAACAGCTACAAGGAAGAAGGCAAAGGTTTTGTCAGAGGACACTAAAAAAAAGAAAAAGGCATAGTGACAAATGAAAAGCCAGGACGAGGATCACCATTGGTCCAGCGTTCGCTCGCTGGCGTGAGCTACAGGAGGAGGAGGGGTGTCCGACCGATGCTGACGCTTGCCTGCACACAAATGCCGTTTCCAAGGTGACCCAGATAAATCATATAAGTAGTGTAGTATTTTCTGGTATTCCGGCCACAGCCGATGGTGTTATGAGTGTAATAAAATGCCCACAGCCCATTGTTCATTTCTACACACAAACACAGCCCGCCACAGTGCAGGGCTCGCACAAATAAAGTCGACTCATGTCAAATGTACATTAAATGTAGTGAACGTGCCCACAAACACTACACACATGTCCCACGGTTTCTGTAAAACGAAACCAACACACATAAGTTATAGTCAGCTCAGGCCGACGGTGTTTTTAGTGCAGTAAATGTGCCCGCCGTCCCGCGCCCACATTCACTCACAGACATGTTAGCACTAAGCCCCACGGGGCTCCCCCATAGACAGTATAAGGCTCGCCCCGCTCGCTCTCTCTCAGCAGACTGCTATAAGGGAATCGAGCGCGGCAAGGCTGCCCGCCTCAAACACTACAAGCACACACAGTCTAAAGACACGGGAGGCTGACCGGTTGACTGTTTGTTGACTTTTGCGACAGTGCTGCGGCGCTTGTGGCCTCTAGGGACGCTAGACGTGAAAGTTACAGGTCGAGCGCCACTAGTGGCCAAAAGTTCCGCGGTGTGCCTTTAACCAACCTAAAATGACAGAGGCTGTCAAACGGCTAAAAGCAGAATGTGGTGATGTCATCAGGGCCGAAGATGAAAGACCATCCATATCATCAAGCACTCAGTCAACAGAAGCACCATCATCAACCCAACAGCCCACACCAAGCTCAAGTATGTATTTATTATTATTTTATTTTTAATTATTGTATTTTATAATTGTTGACCGTTGATGTGTCTTATATTCAGTCAATGTACATGTACAGTCACTCCCAATCATTTTTTTTCTCCTCACACTTCTGAGGTGGAAAGCTTTGTCTTCTGTTGGACAGTGCTGTAGACCAGCACAAACAAAGCTCAAATGCCACTTCTGATGCAATCATAGAATTCGATAAATACCTTTCAGAGACAAACATACAAAGAGCTGAAGATCCACTTGAATACTGGAGAACCCCCATCTACATACATTGGCATTACAGTTTCTTTGTACCCCGGCCTCCTCTGTACACGTGAAAGAGTGTTCTCGAAGGCTGGGGAAGAACTGTCTAAGAGGAGAAATAGGCTGAGCTCCAACACTGTGAAACAGCTTTTATTTCTTAATAAAAATAATTAAAAACTTTAGCACCTTTCTGTCATTCCTACAGTTACATAAGCACTATCACTGCCAAGTCAAATCTATCTATCTCTTTCTAACTATCTATCTATCTATCTATCTATCTATCTATCTATCTATCTATCTATCTATCTATCTATCTATCTATCTATCTATCTATCTATCTCTATCTATCTATCTATCTATCTATCTCTATCTATCTATCTATCTATCTATCTATCTATCTATTTCTTTCTTTTTTCTTTCTAACTAATATTTATTCTTTCTTTCTTTCTTTCTAACTAATATTTCTTCTTTCTTTCTTTCTTTCTTTCTTTCTTTCTTTCTTTCTTTCTTTCTTTCTTTCTAACTAATCTTTCTTCTTTCTTTCTTTCTTTCTTTCTTTCTTTCTTTCTTTCTTTCTTTCTTTCTTTCTTTCTTTCTTTCTAACTAATCTTTCTTCTTTCTTTCTTTCTTTCTTTCTTTCTAGCTAATCTTTCTTCTTTCTTTCTTTCTTTCTTTCTTTCTTTCTTTCTTTCTTTCTTTCTTTCTTTCTTTCTTTCTTTCTTTCTTTCTAACTAATCTTTCTTCTTTCTTTCTTTCTTTCTTTCTTTCTTTCTTTCTTTCTAACTAATATTTCTTCTTTCTTTCTTTCTTTCTTTCTTTCTAACTAATCTTTCTTTCTTTCTTTCTAACTGATATTTCTTCTTTCTTTCTTTCTTTCTTTCTTTCTTTCTTTCTTTCTTTCTTTCTTTCTTTCTAACTAATCTTTCTTCTTTCTTTCTTTCTTTTTTCTTTCTAACTAATCTTTCTTCTTTCTTTCTAACTAATTTTTCTTCTTTCTTTCTTTCTTTCTTTCTTTCTAGCTAATCTTTCTTCTTTCTTTCTTTCTTTCTTTCTTTC